CCCGCCTTTTTTAAAAATACCATTAGATTTTTGAATTTTAGAAGAATTAAATGGAACTGCCCACTGGCCTCAGGCTTGGTTATTCACGTGGAAATCTCAGTATCGTGGGTAGTTTCCTGGGTGTAAAGCTGCTACCAGGCCGGCTGGCTTTCCCAGGACTGAGGAAGGCAGGTCCTGGGCTCTCCCCGCTCTGCCCTGCAGAGACCTGACCACGGCGAGCCGGGCTGCGGCCACTGAGGGCGTGGCCAGCTGGGTCCGCTGTGCATTTCCGACACACTTGGGGTTCTGGGTGGGGCCCCCAGAGTGACCCGCGATGGCTGTGGCCCATCCCCAGAGCTGAGCGGGCAGATGTGGAGTTGGGGCATCTTCCTGTCCATGTGTTCACCTTGACCTGAATCACGCCACGCACATGACTCTCCTCTGCTTATCCCTGGTCAGGAGCTCTCCCGTCTCTTGTCTGTCTGTCCCTCCCACCCCGCCTCTGTTCGCTTTGCTCTCCTCACTTCCCCTCTCTTGCAGGCCTCAGGGACACAGGGTGCTTGCAGGAGATCACTGCTTGGCCACACAAGCTGCACCCCCGTCTCTGCCCAGAGCACTCCTGCCTCACCGTGCATCTCCCCACCCTTTGCACCCCAAGTTCCTGTTCTTGGTGTCACCGTAGTCCCCTTCAGGCTGAGGGAGGAAGTGTTCGAGTCATTCCGTGTCATTCAAAGTTAGCTGTGTCTTTCTGTTGGAGAGATGCCAGCTGTGGGGTCACTTTTTTCATCTTTTTATCTAGATCACCTGCTATGTCTGATGTGCGTATCTCCCCATTTTCTTTGGGGGTAAAAATCACCTGGAGCTCTTGTTAAAAACAGAGCTACCCAGGAGCGCCTGGGTGGCTCAGTCGGTTGAGCGCCCAGCTCTTGATTTGGGCTCCGGTCATGATCTCACAGTTCCTGAGTTTGAGCCTGGCATTGGGTTCTGCTCTGAGAGCACAGAGTCTGCTTGGGATTCTCTGTCCCCTCCCACTCACCCTGTCCCCAATCCCCCGGCTGCCTCTCCCCTGTTCATTCTCTCTCTCTCTCTCAAAATAAATAAACTTAAAAAAGAAATAGACCTACCTAGCTCCTCCCTCTAGAGCCAGGTTTCTGGGTGGTGGGGAGTGGGGTAGGTTGGGGCTCAAGATCTTGGTTTTTTTTTTTTTAATGTGTATTTATTTTTGAGACAGAGACAGAGCATGAACGGGGGAGGGTCAGAGAGAGGGAGACACAGAATCTGAAGCAGGCTCCAGGCTCTGAGCTGTCAGCATAGAGCCGACGCGGGTATTGAACTCATGGACTGCAAGATCATGACCTGAGCTGAAGTCAGATGCTCAACCGACTGAGCCATCCGGGCGCCCCGGGGATCTTGTATTTTTATTAAGTGCCCCAGCTAATTTTATCAGAGGTTTAGGAAACACTGGTCTAATGGTGCTAAAGCCCGGACCCAATCCCTCTTCCTCAGTGTGGAGGACACAAGGGCAAGTCTGAAAGCCGAGCCCTTCTCCAGCAAGGGCTCCTGCCTGAACCCCGGGCCCCTGCCCGCTTGTTCCCCCTCGGTGCCAGGGAGGCGCAGACTTCAGCGCAGTGTGGTTATTTTCTCTTATCCAAGTACAATTGGCATATCGCACTGTGTGAGTTTTAGGTGTATACCGTGACTGGATATGTGTACACATTGCATGATTTCTTTGAAAACCTTTTCTGTGGTTTCTGCCCTTTCTGTCAGCCCCTCTTCTTGCGTATGCACGAGAATGCCACGTGAACAAGTGTTTTCCTTTATGGTGTTGTTCTTAGATGATTCGCAAAACATGGTGCCGGGGCCGACAGCACAGCTGGGGGATCCAGATGTCAGACTTCCCCACGTGGACGTGATTAGCAGCGCTCGCAGTCGGGTGCACACGCACGCACTCCCCCGCAGGCTGGCCCCTGGTGACAGCAGAGGCGGGAAATTACAATGAGAATATCCCTTTTGTTTCCACACGCAGTCCCCCTGCTGCTGGAAGGGTGTCGGTTTGGGAATGGGGGGGGGGCGGTGAGCTTAATCACAGTTGAGGGAAGACAGGTGTCCTAGTAATCCACACCCCCAGGGGCACATGTCCTGCTTTGGGATCTAAAAGGGAGGTTTGGGGGGGGGGCAGTGAATGCTTCTGTTGGTTCTTCTGGAAAGCTGGCCTCTCGATTAACAGGTGCATCGAGGTGGCATGCACAGCATGCCCTTGGCTTTTATTCTCCCAGAACAACAGTCATGAAAATCTTTCTGCATTTGTCTACAGCCGATGGCTGATGCTGATATTCATGGTGATGTTCTGTATTCTTTGCATGAGGCTCAAGTAGTAAATTGCTTTTCTAGGAAGAAGTTTCTCTTCTAAGAAAGAGCTTTCTTTCCAGTAATGAGCCTTCTATAGGCAGGATGGATTCAAAGTCTGCTTTGCCTGAAACCACTCTGTCTAGAGACCAGACTACTTAAAATTCACTTTCTCCTTTTGATTTTTTTTTTTTTTTTTTACCCATTTGTCACGTCCTACTGTTTTATGTCGTCTCTTTTGGCATTGTCGGGATTTTGAAAACTCGTCCTAAGTTACCTTTTGGTTTTGTTTTTATCGCTAGTAAATGCTTATTACACTTGTAGCATTTTATGAATGATGGGGCTATCTTTACATCCTGCTGGCTTTTTCCCCCATCTTATTTTAAACACTTAAAGGAGTTTTTTTAAGTTTATTTATTTTGAGAGAGGAAAAGCATGTGTGCATACATGAGCAGAGGCGGGGCAGAGACAGAGAGAGGAGAGAGAGAATCCCAACCCCATGGGTTTGAACCGTGAGCCAAATTAAGAGTCAGATGCTTAATCGACTCAGCCACCCAGGCACCCCTGAACACCTTAAGGATTTTTGAGCCAGTTTGCCTGAAGACCGTTTCTTTAAAATTAGGTATATTCTGCAATGAGGCTGTGTTTGATTTTTACCTTACTTTGTGAGGCAGATACCTTAAAATATGAATTGCAGTATAATACATTATGGTTTTTATCCATCTGCCTTATTTCTTGATGCTTATTGTCAAGATCGAATTAATTCCTCACTTGTCAGAAAGAAACCTGGATAGTGTGCTCATTTGGTTAATAATCACATTGGGGCGCCTGGGTGGCTCAGTCTGTTGGGCATCCGACTTCAGCTCAGGTCATGATCTCGCAGTGCGTGGGTTCAAGCCCCGCGTCGGGCTCCGTGCCGACAGCTCAGAGCCTGGAGCCTGCTTCAGATTCTGTGTGTGTGTCTCTCTCTCTCTGCCCCTCTCCCACTCACGCTCTGCCTTTGTCTCTCTCTCAAAAATAAATAAAGATTAAAAAAAAACATGCAAAGAATCACATTAAAAATTTATAGACGTGCAGAGGGAAAAAGCAACAACAGTGATACGGAGGCAAGAATAGCAAAAGAGCTGGGTTTCATGACTTTAAAACTCAAAAAGGTTTATAAGTTGGAAACAAAACTTGAAGGCTCAGTCCATTACGAATGAAGCCATCATTCATAAAATGCTGCGGATTTGAGAAGTACTCACTAGAAATGTAACAACCAAGCTGCAAGTGGATTACAGAATGCTAAAATGGTGGCAGAATCCCCCAAAATAAATGTGTCGCAAAATCCCCAAGAGGCCAACAGGCTGTCAGAAAAAGAGCCGGCCTGCGGCAGGATGCAAAACACTGGACTAGGAGTGGCATTTAAGGCAAATTGTTCGTTAGGACAGTCGCCCTGAAGCCTCAGTGTGCGGGGATTCAGTGCCTCCTCTGCTGGGGTCTCTTTTTCCTCTTATTTTCATTGTCCTCATGCATATGTATCTTTGCCAATAAGCTATGAAAATCTCTGGGGGCCACAGGGGGGGCCAGCAGTCACTAGCGATACACGAAGCCGTCTTCCCTCAACTCACATGCGCTTCTCTCCTCTCGCAGAGAACAGCCTATCTTCACCACGCGGGCGCACGTCTTCCAGATCGACCCCAGCACCAAGAAGAACTGGGTGCCTGCAAGCAAGCAGGCGGTCACCGTTTCCTACTTCTACGATGTCACCAGGAACAGCTATCGCATCATCAGCGTGGATGGAGCCAAGGTACCACCCCAGAGGCTGATTTTAACATCCTCCATTCCTTCCTTCTCATCAAAGGCAGATAGGTTTGAGAGTGGAAGGGAAAGGGTGCACCGGATCCTGATGCTTAACGCAAATTCTGCTGTTAAAATCACGACGTTGGTATAGTCACACAGCCTGCTTTTTTTTTTTTTTTTCATTTAAAATTATGGTAAGTGAAAAAAGAAAAAAAAAGATTTCCCTGTTACCACATTGGCTTTGTAACTGGTGTTTTAATGCCCGTGTAATGGCTCCACTGAGGTCCCGTAATGTTCTCAATCTCTCCCCTTCTGGTTGCACATGTAAGTAGCTTCCAGTTTTTTACTGTTACAGATAATGAGCATCTTTTTTTTTTTTTTTAATTTTGTTAACGTTTATTTATTTTTGAGAGAGAGAGAGACACAGAGTGTGAGCAGGGGAGGAACAAAGAGAGAGGAAAACACAGAATCCGAAGCAGGTTCCAGGCTGCAAGCTGTCAGCACAGAGCCTGACACGGGGCTTGAACTCACAAGCCGTGAGATCATGACCTGAGCCGGAGTCAGATGCTTAACCAACTGAGCCACCCAGGCGCCCCTAATGAGCATCTTTATGCAACAAATATTCTCACTCATTCAGCACATACCTAGTGCTTTCTTGTGGATATTTCCTTAGGATGGATTCCCGAAAGTAATATTATAGGCCGAGATATTAACTATGGCTTATGATGGACGTGGCCAAATTCCTTCTGAAGAGTCCCTTCTTCCAGCACGCACGAGAATGCCCGCGTGTTACACCCTTACCAGCATTGGGTGTCATATCTAGTCTGGTTTTGGTGGTGTTATTCCCGGAAGTCGAATTTTATTATAAGATTTTGTAGTATTTCTTGAAATACATTTTTTTTCTGGATGCTTGTATTATTCTGCTGTCTTCCTTGATATTTTGGCCACATTGCTATGGGAGCAGGATAAAGAAGGCATGTCAGCAGTATCACCAAGTTAACAAAAAAAGTAGATTTGATGCTTTGTGATTTTTTTTTTTGTTTGTTTTTAATCTCTGTTCATCCCACTGGACAGTTTTACAATTTACATTATCTGCTGCACCAGAAATTCAGTCTGTCTGGGCGCCTGGCTGGCTCAGTCAGTAAAGTGTGCAACTCTCTCTTTTTTTTTAATGTTTATTTATTTTTGAGAGAGAGAGAGGGACAGAGCATGAGCAGGGGAAGGGCAAAGAGAGAGGGAGACACAGAATCCAAGGGAGGCTCCAGGCTTCGAGCTGTCAGCACAGAGCCCGACACGGGGCTCGAACTCATGAACTGTGAGATCATGACCTGAGCCGAAGTCAAACCCTCAACCAACTGAGCCACCCAGGCGCCCCTAGAGTGTGCAACTTTTGCTCTTGGGGTCATGAGTTCAAGCCCCACGTTGGACGTAGAGTTGACTTAAAAATTTTAAACAAATAAAGTCACTTATTAAAAAAAAGAAAGTCAGTGTATCTGAAGCTGAATTCCCCTATTTGCCCTCTAAACCACCTCTCCATTTTCATTCCCAATCATTTGGACTAAAAAAAGAAAAAAAAAGTAGAAACTCATTCCCTTTTTAGTTGGTCAAAAGAATCTGCCTTTGAAGTACCTCACATTTATGCCTACTGTTTTGTTTTATGGCCACAACTTGTCCTGAGACCGTCTTTTTCTTTTAATTGAAGTGTAATCAACATACGATGTTGTGTGAGTTTCAGGTACATGACATACTGGCTCACTGACTCCACGCGTTACTTCGCGCTCAGCAGAATTGTCACCACCTGTCACCAAACAACGTTTTTACAGTATTATTGACTGTTCCCTGTGCTGCACTCTTCATCCGCATGCCTTATTTATTTTCTAACCGGAAGGTTGGGCCTCCTGCTTGCCCTTATGCATTTCGTCCCACCCCCCCACACCTGCCTCTCCTCTGACAACCATGAGTTTGTTCTCTGTTTCCTGTTCATTTGTTTTTTCACATTCCACATGTGAGATCATACAGTATTTGTGTTTCTCTTTCTGACTTATTTCACTTCGCACCGTACTCTCTAGATCCAATCATGTTGTCACGAATGGCAAGACCTCGTTCCTTTTTTTACGCCTGAGTGACATTCCATTGTGTACATGCACCGCATCCTTACCCATTCGTCTGTGGATGCACACTTGGGCTGCCTCCGTGCTTTTGGCTGTGGTAAATCACACTCAGTAAACGTGGGAGTGCGTCTTTTTGAATTAGTGGTTTTGTTTCCTTGGGTGAAGGCGGGGGAGGGGCAGAGAGAGAGGGAGACAGAGGCTCAGAAGCAGGCTCTGTGCTGTCAGCATAGGGCCTGATGTGGGGCTCGAACTGACAAACTGTGAGATCATGACCTGAGCCACCCAGGCGCCCCGAAATTGTTTTTAATGTTTATTTATTTTTGAGAGAGAGAGAGAAAGAGACAGAGTGCAAGCAGATGAAGGGCAGAGAGAGAGGGAGACACAGAATCTGAAGCAGGTTCCAGGCTCTGAGCTGTCAGCACAGAGCCCGACATGGCACTTGAACCCATGAACCATGAGATCATGACCAGAGCCAGAGTTGGCGCCCCGATTCTCTATGCTTTTGAGCTGGCATCCCCTTGATTCTTGCCAGGATTCTCTGATAGGGGTGGCCAGTCAAGCTGACCTGCTTTATTTTATCTGTAGACGCTGTCACTTCATCTGCTGTCCTTGAGCTGGGCTTACCCTTCTGTCAGCTGTTATCCAAGGATATACTGGGCGTAAATACAGATAAAACCACTTTTCTTAGAGAAAGTGCTTTAGTCCTATTAGCTGGGCTTTCAGTAATTTGTCAAAGTGTCAACCACTGTATCAGACAGCTCTGTGGCTCCTGAAGGGCCAGGACGGTGTGGTGGGGAGTGAGCTGGACGTGCCAGTGGTGTGTGAGGAATCACATGGGTGCAGGGGGGCCGACACCCTGGCTGCACAGTGGAGCCAATTCGGGCTCGGTACGGGGTCCCTTACAGAGTGGGAATTGGAAACCTGGGCCATGGGACACTGCCGGAATTCAGAGACGGAGCCCGAGGATCTTGGGCCACCCCTCCTATGGTGCCTGGCCTCCTGGTGTTCGTAGAGCCCACCCAGGGCTCCCACTTTACCCCTGCGGCACGAGAACCGTGACAGGGCCTGTCCTGCAAAAGGGGGTGTCCTGTGAGGGAGCAGGAGGCCCAGGGTAGTGGGCATGTAGGGACCTTAGTCATTTAATTACTGTGATTAGCGCTCAGGGAAGAGGTGGGGGTGGGGGGGAGGCAAGTTTCTTGCCGTGAGAACTGGGACATAGGACACAGATAGCAGTCACTGCTCTGTTTTAGGCCTTTCATCCCAAATGTTGATCCGAACCAAGGTGGCCGATCGGTCAGATGTTTTTAGCCTTTGGGGCTGAGTCTTGGTGCGTGGGTAATTGCACCTCAGACCTCGGGCAGGTCTAGGGCCTGGGTCCTGCCTCTGTCTGTTGGCCTGGCCAATCAGGTCCACAACCTTGAGCCTCTTATTGGTGCTTGTCAGCCAGCTGTCCCTCCCAAACCATGGACTAGACATGCAGGTGTGGAAGGGACTTGAGGTCGCTGTGAGCAGAGGCCACAGCAGACTCAGCATCCAAGTGAACCGCGGCCGGCCCGCAGCGCACAGGCCCCCCACTAAGGGATGGTGGTGGCTGCCATTCCACACCAGGACACAGCAAGTTCTGGGTCCCATCCAGGCTTTTGTCATGATCCATTTGGGGAAGGATTTGGAAGGCCTCTCCTTCCCCTGAGAGCAGTTGGTGCTGTTCATCCCAGAAAAAACCTGTATTCAGACCCATTCTTCATTCTTCCAGAAACAGTAGGCCCTTTCTTCTTCTCAGGGAAAAGGCTTTGCGTGTCAGCCCCACCCACTGCCAAAGGCACGGCTGGGCCGGAGTCCTGGTGCATCATCTCGGCGTTGCTCGATTCTGGGGGTTACGCGGGTCCTTTTCTTTGTGTGGGCCGCCAGGGTGCCACGCTCTAGGACCGGGGACCAGGCCTGGCTCATCGTTGGGGTCCCGGGGCCAAGCCGGACCGGGCCGCATCACAAGGTGGGTGGGATAGTCAGTGGGTGACAAGGCCGGGCCTGGCCGCATCCCCTCTGGCTCTGGGGCAGGTGTGCCGAGAGGGACCCGGGACCCGCACCTCAGTGTCACCTGTGCGTGGACAGACAGGTAGGAGCGAGGGCACCCAGAGCGGCGGCCTGAGCCATTCCATGGCCACCAGCTGCACACCAACAGTGGGACGATTTGCGGGGAGTTTGGGGGCAGAACAGCCACCTCCGTTATGCGGGAACTCCGTTCCCAGAGCCACAAGGGCGCTGGATTTCATTGTGCCACTGGCCCTCTTTCCCGACCGAGCTCAGCACCGCCCCCTTGTGAGGTGTCGCCTCGCCTGTGGGCGGCACTTGCTCAGAACAGGTGCTTCTCTCAGGTGCTCTGGATGGCTCTGCTGCCCTTGGTTCTGTTATTTATAGGATCACAGAAACCTGTGTCAGAAGAGACCTTGGAGGTCATCCATTCTGCAAGTACTTAGCAGCGTCCGCTGCATAGTGAGGACTGCCTGACCATGAAATTTTGGAGGATGTCAGCATCTGAAGCCCTGACTCGCTGGTATTTTCTCCTGGGAATGCGAAACTGCTTTCAAGAACACAGCCAGGTCCCCTCCTCCCCCGTCATTACAGTTTCCTCTTTCGGATCCGATCACCTTCTGTTAAAGGAGCTGACATATGGAAGGGTCTCGGCACACAGTAGGTTTTCAATGAACATTGGTTTCTTTTCTTCCCTGATTGGGGTTGAAAAGAAAAGAGAAAAAGCATCTGTTAATCCCTACTCTGGAAGCAGGCAACATGTCTGTCAGTTGCTGTAACTCGGTCCCAGCCTCTTGTAGAAAATTTGCGGGTTCTTCCAGCTCCCAACACCCTGGATTTGGAGACAACTCTCAATGGAGAGGAATCC